ATAAATGGCTTTATATGATCACTATGATCCTTCAAACAAATACATTTTTTTTGCATGATCAGTCATATTTTCAAAATCAATGCTGAAATGTCACAATTTCTGCCAGGGTATGCACACCTTTGAGCACAACTTAATGTCGGAACAGCCAAATGAGGGCCGAATGCCAGAGTAGTAAAAGTCCATATGAGGGCCAAATGAGGGCTGAATGACTGCTTTAATGGAATGCTGCAGCTAGGCAGAATGAGGAGGCTCCACGGGTGTTTTGGAGGCAGATTTTAATGAGTGTAAACACAGGCTGAAATTCGATGCTCACATAGGGTGAATGAGCCCAAACAGTAAGTTTGATAAACAGCATGTCAGCAGACACAGAGTTTCGGGCCTGGAACCGGAAGTTGAGGGTCAACTCTATACCTGACAATAACGGACCATAGGAGGGAGTGGACTGTGCTTAATAGGCCAGTTAACCCCTCACACAATTCCAATTATATAGGTTGCTGTGATTCTAGTTAGTTGTTTTAATACAGTCCGAATGTTTCAGACTATTAAACTTTATTATTACGCGTGAATGCTGCAGTTTTTTTTTTATTCACTTTTTTTTCTCCGTGTTTATTTTAAAAATATAATTTTGTTTCTTAGGTTATTTTTTTTAATAGCAATTCGTAAACGTTACTATTTTTCTGTGATTATTGTTATTTTCATTTGACAGAAAATTAGGGGAACACAATAGCAGCAAAAAAACTCTACTAGCCTAAGGTAGCTAGCTTGTATTGTAACAAAGCTTTTATTCCATCTCATTTTTTCTAATTTCAGATTAATTTTTTTTTAAATCAATATACAGGGAGTGCAGAATTATTAGGCAAATGAGTATTTTGACCACATCATCCTCTTTATGCATGTTGTCTTACTCCAAGCTGTATAGGCTCGAAAGCCTACTACCAATTAAGCATATTAGGTGATGTGCATCTCTGTAATGAGAAGGGGTGTGGTCTAATGACATCAACACCCTATATCAGGTGTGCATAATTATTAGGCAACTTCCTTTCCTTTGGCAAAATGGGTCAAAAGAAGGACTTGACAGGCTCAGAAAAGTCAAAAATAGTGAGATATCTTGCAGAGGGATGCAGCACTCTTAAAATTGCAAAGCTTCTGAAGCGTGATCATCGAACAATCAAGCGTTTCATTCAAAATAGTCAACAGGGTCGCAAGAAGCGTGTGGAAAAACCAAGGCGCAAAATAACTGCCCATGAACTGAGAAAAGTCAAGCGTGCAGCTGCCACGATGCCACTTGCCACCAGTTTGGCCATATTTCAGAGCTGCAACATCACTGGAGTGCCCAAAAGCACAAGGTGTGCAATACTCAGAGACATGGCCAAGGTAAGAAAGGCTGAAAGACGACCACCACTGAACAAGACACACAAGCTGAAACGTCAAGACTGGGCCAAGAAATATCTCAAGACTGATTTTTCTAAGGTTTTATGGACTGATGAAATGAGAGTGAGTCTTGATGGGCCAGATGGATGGGCCCGTGGCTGGATTGGTAAAGGGCAGAGAGCTCCAGTCCGACTCAGACGCCAGCAAGGTGGAGGTGGAGTACTGGTTTGGGCTGGTATCATCAAAGATGAGCTTGTGGGGCCTTTTCGGGTTGAGGATGGAGTCAAGCTCAACTCCCAGTCCTACTGCCAGTTCCTGGAAGACACCTTCTTCAAGCAGTGGTACAGGAAGAAGTCTGCATCCTTCAAGAAAAACATGATTTTCATGCAGGACAATGCTCCATCACACGCGTCCAAGTACTCCACAGCGTGGCTGGCAAGAAAGGGTATAAAAGAAGAAAATCTAATGACATGGCCTCCTTGTTCACCTGATCTGAACCCCATTGAGAACCTGTGGTCCATCATCAAATGTGAGATTTACAAGGAGGGAAAACAGTACACCTCTCTGAACAGTGTCTGGGAGGCTGTGGTTGCTGCTGCACGCAATGTTGATGGTGAACAGATCAAAACACTGACAGAATCCATGGATGGCAGGCTTTTGAGTGTCCTTGCAAAGAAAGGTGGCTATATTGGTCACTGATTTGTTTTTGTTTTGTTTTTGAATGTCAGAAATGTATATTTGTGAATGTTGAGATGTTATATTGGTTTCACTGGTAATAATAAATAATTGAAATGGGTATATATTTGTTTTTTGTTAAGTTGCCTAATAATTATGCACAGTAATAGTCACCTGCACACACAGATATCCCCCTAACATAGCTATAACTAAAAACAAACTAAAAACTACTTCCAAAAATATTCAGCTTTGATATTAATGAGTTTTTTGGGTTCATTGAGAACATGGTTGTTGTTCAATAATAAAATTAATCCTCAAAAATACAACTTGCCTAATAATTCTGCACTCCCTGTAAATGTGGCAGAGTACCCTGTGTAGGAAGAGCAAAAAGACAATTAAAAATATTGAACTTTCTATTGTCTGACATCCCCACTGCAACCTTTTGAGGTTTATTCTTGGAATATACTCATTAAGAATTTAAAAAACACAAAATTCCAAACACCCATTGCACCTGCATCAAGCTCTTATCTTTATTCTGATAGCTGTCTACAAATTCTCTATCAGCCATATGAGTAGTGGCCAGTGGAGTTATTACTAGGCTGTAATGTAAACACTGCCCTTTCTCTGAAAAGACAACGTTTACTGTAAAAAGCCTGAAGGGAAAGATTCAACTCACCAGAACAAATACAATAAGCTGACTATAGTGTTCCTTTACTCTATGTACTTTACAGCTAAAAATGTGATATCAAATCTGGTAAAATACTCAAATGGGAAACAAATATTCTAATATTGCTATGAAATTCTAGCCCAAGAGTATTGGACCCAGACATCAAGATCTGGAGACACTTACATACTCTAATGATTGGTCATTCATTCATTGATTCATTCATTCATTGATTCATTGATTCATTCAATTCACAATCATCAATCATATGGAATCAATATGCAATGATACATTGGTACAGTCATTCATGCTTATCTGCAATCAATTAGGGTACATGGATCAATGGAATGGTCAAAAGGCACGTGGAACCATAGACCAGTTACAAACTGAGTGAATCAAGATGTAGCAGGAGTGGAGGGTAAGAAGCCAGAAATCAGGATGATGGAGGCACAAGTGGGGGTTTTGGTCAAACAAGGTGAGGTGATAGAGAATGGTGAAGAAAGTCTTTTCACATGTGCCTTTAAGAGTTGGCAAAAAGATAAGAGTAAGATAGATATTGGAATGTGGGGCATGAGTATTTTTCCCCAAAAATAACACTTAAATATAGGATTAGGGAAAGGAATCTGAATGTGAACAACTGGCAAAATATATTGAGAGATGAGTGGATAAAGATTAGTAAATAGTAGTGCCCACAAAGTTAATGGAATTTTTGATGAAGGGTATGAAGCACAATCAGACTATTGCATGTTGAAGACATAGATTTTACATATTTGCTACATATTAATTTGCTAAAGTGAAATGATGGCGTGATATAAAAGCACCGTAGTCCACTGGTAAAAGTAAAGGAAAAGGTTAGACAAAGTTATCCACCCATGGAACCCCTTCTTTTACTAATAGATATTTGTACTTTGTAAAGAGTTACATTAAATAAAAGGTGCTTCATTAGTACATCAATAGTAGAACAGTTTATGTGTGTGTGTACGTTAACATAAATGTCTGATTAACTTGAATAAAAGTGTAATCGAGAAACACATGCAAAAGTAAATGTTGTTCTAAAGATCACTGTGTTCTCAGTGGAAGTTTAAATAGATTTATATTAGTCTGACTGCCTAAACTTACTTCCAGTTCAATTAACTTTTATACAGGCCAAGAAAATGAACATAATATTCTCACTGAAATTATAACAAATAAAATCCCGCTGATTAACATTGCACAGTCAGTCAATAAATTATACCCATCTGGCTTTAGTTTCCACACATACAGAAGTGATTTTCTCTTTATGTCAAAGTTAATACTATGTTAATAAATATTAGACTAAATTCTGTTACATGGGAATCTACGCATTTCATGAAAAGAGAGCAAACGAGCCAGTGATATTCTATCTGTGGACATAATTTAATAAACGTAAAAAGTTTCCGAGTATTGTAAAGTGATAGAATTACTTTCTAGACAGGGGTGAGGGGTGAGGGGTCTTTTTAGAGCAGTGTTCCTATTTGGTCAATGAAATGGCTAAGCCACCAATCTTGTTTGTATGTCTCCATAACACATCTATACTTATTGAATATCAAAACATAGTAATATTTCACTAGCATTGTCTGAGTGCTGATTAGTACATAGAGGCTATATTAAAACATACGCTCCCTTTGTTCTTCAGTATTATGCTTTTTTTTTTTTTTATGGTGTGTACGAAACAGGACTTTTGAATACTAGCCTTAGTGCGTGGGTGGAAACCATTGCATTTATAACCGATACTAAAAGGATAGTTTCAAACAATATTGTAAAAGCTTTAAATGATCCTACAGCATATTGCAGTTGCAAAAGGGGTAAGATCAATGCGTTATAAGCCAGGAAATGAATCTGACCGATTGTATGCGGAATGCTTGAATTTTACATAATTCAGTAAAGATTACTGCAAGATAAATCTCACAGGAACAGACCAAAAAAAAACTTTTGATGACACCGATTTAACATATAACACATGGACAAAACTAAAGTAGATGAAGGTTTTGTTCATGCAAATCAAAAGCTGATCCATATCAAAACATTTCATCAGCCACATTTTAATCGGAAGCACATTACTTGTTATTTGGTGATTTTTTTTTGTTTTGTTTTTTAATCTGTGCATTTTTACTGCGTTAACAAACAAACTTTGCTATTTCATAATACAATTTATCTTTAGAGATTTAGGGAGATGTGACTTCATTTTCAAATGTAGGACCAGGCACATCTGATGAGATTGCTCACAATACCATTTACATTTATTGTGAAAGGAAGATTTTATTTGTTTTTTTAAAAACACCTAATCTAAGCAAAAATAATGGGGGTTTAGTTATGCAATGTATGATCATATAATGTAACTAAACCCCCATTATTTTTGCCTAGATTAGGTGTTTTTAAAAAAACAAATAAAATCTTTCAACATTGAAGTTGCTGTTTAGTGGATAGGTGAGTGCGCTGGATCTTGTGTATTGTATTATTTGGCCCCCAGCAGCACCCCCATTTATGCATGTTCAGGTGAGTGCAGCCAACCCCCTCTTGTTTTATATATATATTTGGGAGTCTAGCCAACTCCTTGGTTTTGCACCCCTCCCTGTCACAGGTGCCTCATCCCAGGGCCCTATTTAGCCTTGTACTGCAGAGAGCCCCAGATGGAATTTTTTTCCCAAGTAGGTTAATCTCATAAGAGCAGACATTAGGCTGTTAGTGTAGGACCTGCCAAAGATGGGGTACATTGACGTTGTGGCAGGCTTATGCAATGTATGATCATATAATGTAACTAAACCCCCATTATTTTTGCCTAGATTAGGTGTTTTTAAAAAACAAATAAAATCTTTCAACATTGAAGTTGCTGTTTAGTGGATAGGTGAGTGCGCTGGATCTTGTGTATTGTATTATTTGGCCCCCAGCAGCACCCCATTTATGCATGTTAAGGTGAGTGCAGCCAACCCCCTCTTGTTTTATATATATATATATATATATATATATGTATATATATATATATATATATATATTTGTTAGAGTTCTGCATTAGTAAAGCAGCCAGTAGGAAATCTTGATCAGTACAGTATTGATTTATGCATACGCAGGTGGCCCGCAATCTCAGTGTTTTCCCTGCCTGAACTGGCCCATTGGGATATTCCCCGTTGGACCAAAATAATAAACACTGTTGTTATTGCTGGAAACTGAGCTGTAGGAAAGAGCCGACTATTGAGTCTACATCTCTGCTCTATTATAATGTGCAGGTCATACTGATGCAAGACATAGAGATATCTAATTTCTCACAACTCTAAGAGCCTCCATCTGTAAAATCTATGTATTGCATGATTTGAGGTATGTGCAATAAGTGCACAAATGGCATTTATTTGATCAAAGTTGAAAAAAAAAAAAAGCTAATGATCGATGAGCTCATGTGCATCTAGATAAAAAAAAAAACCCCCAAAAAACCTTTAATAATAGACCAAGTTGATGCTGGATTTTACCAAAACCTTGAAGTAACAGACTTCTGGAAACTCACAATACAGGATTCACCATTTTATTTTCCAATGTAGCAGTCCACTCTATCAAAAAACACCAGGAATTAGTGATATAATTAACATTGTCCAGGATCAAATAAATACAAGCATGACAGTTTACAAGCAACTGTGGGCTCAGTTTAAAGGTTACATTATTTTAAGCAAAATGTAACAAGCAACTATATTTTACAGGCAAAACCCTCTCACCAATCTTCTGAGTATTGACACAATCTATCTCTGACATAAACAATGGAATATATGTCTCTTTTTTTTATTTTCAACAACTTTTTGGGACTGTGTTAATCCTACCTGTAAATGAACAACTGTAGATTTTGTGAATAGAAAATATTGGAAGGATGAAGGGATTTTAAACTGTCAGAGAAATGTGCCATAATAGTTTGTAATGTGACACATTTTGCTAGCTCATGTAGTGCCAGAGCTCAGGGAATGATTTCAACAGTAAGCCAGTGTTATGGGTATGTGTCATGCCTGTCTGGTCCATCTTTAGTTCCATTAATTTAGATTTCTTTTTTTTCTATTTTTTTCCCAATCTCTTACATTGCTAGTTTTTTTTTTCTTTTTTCTTTTTTCTTAACTTGTATTCATAGACTACTGTGGTTCCTCTGAAAGGTGCATTGGCACACTACGATAAAAAAAATGTTAACACCTGCTCACGTTCTCCCAGAGATGGTCATATAATCACCTATCATATTTTTGTCAGGGCTTTTGTCATGTTTTTCTTGTGTGCCATATACACTGCAATATCAAAATATGAACCAGTATCCTGTTTTTTGTGCAACGTACCGGTAGTTCTTTTGTTCCCTTGCCTTGCTCCAGAATAAATTTTACTTCTAAATGCTCTATGCCTTCTGTCTTCGGCATTCTTTATTATGTTATGATCTTGTAACCTGCATGTATTCTGACAAATTTGGTACTGGCATGTTACCAGTACCAGACCAGTAGTCTTTTGGATTTGTTTATATATATCTTTAACTAACCTTGTAGCGCTAACTTGGACTGCTCTTCTTTCAGCTATTCTTTTCACTAGGTCAAGCAGTCAATGTTTCAAAACCAGCTGTTCCACCTCTGTGATTGGTGCTGACATGCACTGTGTGTCTGCCAAACCACTACCTGTATCTTCTAGGAATGGTATCCCCCTATGGAGTCAATTGAGTCCTTACACTGTGCTTTGCTTTTTCTCATTTTATATCCAAATTAAAAAAAATTGGAAACTTCCCACGCACACGTGTTCAGTATTTTCCTTACAGTCAAATCATAACTGCTGCTATTAGGTAATACAAAATATTTCTGCAGATCCCTTTAGGAACTTTGCATGCACAAACATTTCCATCTGTCTGTCCTTCTTCATCTATTGGGAGAAGGGGGGTCCATTCAATAAAATCAGCCGAACAAATTAGCAGTAGTTACCTGAATGCATTTGGTGTCTGAATCAATATCAGTGCCCAAAGTATAGGATATGGAATATTCACAAAGTACTAGTTCAAAAAATGTTTGGACTGAAAGCATTCGGCAGAATGCACATTCACAAGTTATCATTCACTTGCCTTTTTGACAAGCAAATGATAATGTGATGTACAATAAGCCCACTGGCAGAGCTAGTAGCCAGCAGGCAAACAGTAAAAAAAATAAAAAACCTGCACAATGCAAAGGTTAATTATGTGGCAGCTGACCAGCACTTGTCAGGTAGGACCACATTAAAACAAATAAAATAAAAAAATGAAAATGAAAAATTTTGAGGGACAATAAGATTCCATAAAACTACCGTGCAGCAGGTGGGGTCGTATCTACTAACCTTTTAAAACTAATGATTGAGCAGCTATTGTTGCTTAAGTATTAAATAATTGAAGGGACATAGCCACCCCACTCATGGACATGGGGTGGGGACTTTACATTAAATAATGGAGGATGGACACTGAGTCCACACTTTCCACTTTCTGAGGGCCATATAATAAAAGATTAAATATGCAAAATCCTCAAACGGGGACAAAGCTGCTTTAACGTGTTAAAGAAATTGGCATAAATGGTGACTCTTGAGTTCACACTAATGGCAGATGTATTTACAATATATACAATGCATATGACCTTCTTGGATAGTGGAGCAGTGTGCACAGAGGTCGAATCTGTTTGTAATGATTGGCAAAGGTTTGGCAACATTAAAATGCTTAGTAAATATAGCTATGAGATCTCTAGTGTAATGCAATAGATAGGAGATTACATGGGTCACCCAACAGAGGCTCTGTTAAAGGACCACTATAGTGCCAGGAAAACATACTCGTTTTCCTGGCACTATAGTGCCCTGAGGGTGCCCCCACCCTCAGGGACCCCCTCCCGCCCGGCTCTGGAAAGGGGTAAAACTTACCTTTCTCCAGCGCCGGGCGGGGAGCTGTACTCCTCCTCTCCTCCTTGCTCAAGGACGTCATCGGCTGACGCATGCTGCAGGAGCCGCTACATTCAGCCGTCGCATAGGAAAGCATTTTCAATGGCTTCATTATGCTCTCACTCTGTTTTTCACAGTGAGAAGCACGCAAGCGCCTCTAGCGGCTGTCAATGAGACAGCCACTAGAGGCTCTGGAGGCTGGATTAACCCTCAGTATAAACATAGCAGTTTCTCTGAAACTGCTATGTTTATAAAAAAAAGGGTTAATCCAAGAGGTACCTGGCACCCAGACCACTTCATTAAACTGAAGTGGTCTGGGTGCCTAGTGTGGTCCTTTAAGGCAGGGTTTGGCAGAGGAAGCAGTTATTTGAAGTCTAATGTAGAGAAGCTAATTTGACAAAGTCCTTGAGTGTAGTATACTCTTTGGAATGAGTGATTAGAATAGTTAAGTAACAATGACATTTACTGTGAGGTAAGCACTTGGAAATAAAGTCTGTAGCATTAGAGAAATGGTTGGATGGATGATCTGAGAGCATAGTAGTGATTCATGATATTAGGTCTCATACCAGGGTTGAAACAAAGCACAGAGATAATCCATGAGAATAAACAGAAAGGAAAGCCAGAGGTCTGAAGTCAAGAGGGCAGCAAGCAACAAGGGGTGATCCAAGAGAGCGGACAGGAAAGAGAACAAGGGTCAGGAGTTAAGGGTCAGGAGGACAAGGACAATACGAAAGAGTAGTCAACCACATGAACTGAGGTCTGAAGTAAATGGTGAATGCAGAAACTGGATGGGTTACTATGGGGCCTACAGAAGCTGAAGCTACAAGATAACAAGGTTACACATGGCAAGGCAAGCCAGGATGATTCAATAACTCAGCAATGAGGCAAGCCATAGGTAATGGTTAAATATGTCATAGTTACCAAAACCTAAGTCAAGCATGGCATCATGACATCACTGAGCAAGAAACGTAGGTCTGAGTTAACACTTCATTAGGACATATAGATACTATCTATCTATCCATCTATCCATCTATCCAAAACCTGAAAATGTCTTTCACTTTCTCTCTTTGTCTCCATCTATTTTTCTGTATGTTTATCAGGAAAAAAGGGCATCATAACATAAACATATTTAACATAATTTGCTCCCCCACAGTGTACTTGACTTCCTAAGATATAATTTAATTTGACCATTGCTATACTTTTGTAAGCAAAATCACAATACTTTAAAAAAAAACAAAACACTAAACATAAAATGAAAAATACAGCTGCATTTCAATTTAGCATAGTACTACGAAAATACTAGTTTTGGGGTATATTTTAATGGGAGCAAGGAGCTTTAAAAATAAATAAAAGTAAGAACCTGAATGAATTTAGCATGAAATCATGACATCACTGAGCAAGGAACATAGATGAGCATTCTGACATATATCTATCTATCTATCTATCTATCTATCTATCTGTCTCTCTCTCTCTCTATCTCTCTCTCTATCTA